ATCTTCAAATTCATTAAGTCTTTTCTTCTGTCAGTTCATATTTATGGTTGAGAACCCTTTTGGTGGTGAAATCTTTTTCTTTCTTTTTTTTCTTTTCCTTTTTTTTTTTCTTTTTTTTCTTTTAGTGAGAGAGCAAGAATCTCAAGCAGGCTCCATGCTGTAGGGTTCCATCCCACAGCCCTTGGTTGGGATCATGACCAGAGCCAAAATCAAGAGTCAGATGCTCGACCAACTAGGCCACCCGGGTTTAGTGCGTTACTCCAGCAGAAAACTGGGTGGTAATCAAATCAACCTCAGGGGCTACAGACCAGGCTCTACAGTTACATTTCAGGTGCCCTGAAATTTTTTATTTCCATTTTTAGTTTTCAACCCCAGAATTCCCACTTGGTTCTTTTTTTAATGTAACTCCTATATTTTTTATTGATAGTCTCTATTTGGTGTGACATTGTCATAATACCTCCCTTTACTGCTTTAATCATGCTGTTAAACATGTCTTGTGAACATATTTCTAATGGCTCTTTTGAAGTCTTTTTCTGTTCAGTCCAGCACCTGGTCATTCTTCCTGGCGGTTTGTGTTGCCTGTTCTGCTTCAGGGGTCATGCTTTCTCGATTCTTTGCAAGCTTCACAATTTTGGTTGGAAATCAGATATTTAGATAATCTATTGTAGCAGCTTTGAGCACCGGTCCCGCTCTCCCAGGGCTTATTGTTTATTTGTTTTTTAGTGATTGCCTGGGTTCTTTTAGTGCCATCTACCCCTCACCCTATCGTTTTCAACAGTGCCCCGGGGGCACATACTGTTCCACCAACGAATCCAGTCACATTGTGGCTTCTTTCAAGGAATAATTTTTGAGGTCAGCGTTTGGTACTTGTTCTGACCTCAGGAGAGATCCTCCCCCCGTCTTATTTCCTGTGATCAGGGCAGCCTTTATTTAGGCTGCATCTTCGTTAAATCCGTGAATCTCCCGGCTGCCTTTCGTCACCACCTCCCTCGTTCTTGAGAGCACACGTAGGGTTTGAGCTTCTCCATATTCTTTGGTGTATGAAGTTAGCTCCTCGGGAAGAGGTTAGGAGCTTTTTTAAAGCCCGCCTTTCCCTTTCCTACCCCTTAGCAAAATCTTTTGAGCCAGGGCACTGGGGCTGGGGACAATGGCCGGCTTCTCCGTGAGTGAGTGCCACTCCCACTCCAGAAGCTGGGTGCGAGGGGGCTCGGGGGTGGCAGCAGCCTGGCCCCTCTGGGCACAGAACCGTTGGATCCTGGGGCAGAGCGAGGACGATGAGGGCTCCGGTGGGCTCCGGCCCACAGATTGGGGCCTTTCAAGGAAGGGAGCTCCCATCTCTCGACTGGCCTGGCGCTTAGCCTCAGTGCTGGGCAGCAGGGGGCTGGATGAGAAACACTGCTGCCCTCTTCTCTCTCTCTCTCTCTCTCT